ACACACACACACACGTAACAGCCACGCACAAGCACAGGCGTGTGTTACACACAAGAGGGTTCAAATGCCCCCGGGGCCCTCGCTCTGGCAATCACAGACTCTGACACTCTCAGGGCCCTGGGAAGACGGGCCACCACAGCCCACGAAACCATCCCCACCACCACGGCCCCACACCCGCGTGCACACTCACACACCCATGCCAGCAGGCGGGCCCACGTGGCTCACCCACGCTCATTCCCCGATGGGGCTGCCTGGCAGGCACCGCTCCCTCCGCGGCCGCGTGTGTTATTAGAGAGCGTGAGGCGTGGCTGGGCACTTGGCAGCGCCACCAGGGTGGGGAGCTGGCAGTGGGCGTGGGGCCAGGCCACAGTGGTGACCCCATGGCAGTGACCCTGTGGCTGGGTGACGGCACAGGGGCCAGATAAGGCTCTTCCGGCTGAGTCAGTGCGGTTCCCAGGGCTGGCACGGGCAGGGGCATGGTGCCAGGGGCTGGCGGGCAGGCACCCTCCCCGCACCCGCCGTGACCCAGCTGGCTCCGGGCCAACAGCCGCAGCAGCTTTGATGAGGCAGGCACTGCCGTAGGCAGGGAGGCTGGGCTCCCCAGGGGCTTCCCAATACCCTCCCGCCCCTTTGAACACGGCCCAGGACTTCCAGCGGCTCAGGAACACACCTGATGCCAGCGCTGGCTGCCCAGGACCCACGGGGCCTGGCCCCGGGCCCACTCCGTCTCAGGCACACCGGATGACACGCTGGGCTCAGAACCCAGTGTCCGGCCTGGCCTTTGCCCGGGCTGTCCCTTCCCTGGATGCCCTCCTCCACTGGGAAAACCCTAACTCACCCTGTCCCCCGGTCCAAAAGGCTCAGCGGAGACTCGGGCCTCGCACTCCTGCCTGGCCCCTGGACTCCTGAAGAGTCCTCCCAGCATGTCCCACTCCCCCCAACACCAAATCCTGCCAAGACCCCCCTTTGAGCCTACGTCTCGTTTACCCTAATATCCTCCCTTCCCCTTTATGTTCCAGCCACACTATTCCAAGCAGCAAACCCTACCCCTCTCTGTCCATCGGGCAAACTTTTACATGTCCCACAAAGCCCCCGCTCCAATGCCCCTTCCTCCGGGCAGCCTTCCTCCCGATCCACTTCCTCTGGCCCAGCCCGGACCCCTTAGGACTGGAATACCTGCGTCCTGACCTACATTCCCCAACCTGGGGGGCTGCAAGGCAGGACAAAGAAAATGTCTACCACCCCCTCCCTGAGCCCAGCAATTCCAGCTCCCCACCGAACCCCACCCCACCCCTAGACCCCGTACAGTGGCCCCCGGCCCCTTGCTGGTCCATCACTCCCCAGGAATGCTGACAGGTGCTGGGCCAGTTTACCCTGGAATCCGGTCCCAGCTCTGACACCTCCCCCAGGGCAAGGGCCTCGGTTTCCCCATATGCACAACAGGGGCAATGGCAATTCCCCGTGGCATCAAGAGGATACACATGAGACATACGTGAGCCGTGCGATCCGCCGCCCGTGGCACAGTTAAGGGACATATATTAGGCAAAATGGTCATCTCTACATCTCTGATCTCCTTTACAAGTCATGTGGTGAGCAGACATCACCTTGGAAAGCAGGGGAAAAATAGCCCAACGTTTAATCCAAGTCAAAACCACCGTGGAGATACCACGAGACCCCCACCCACACGGCGGGACCCAGTCACTGCAGGGGCTGGTGAGAACTGGGAGGAACTGGAGTCGCGCACGGCAGGTGGGATGCAAAACGGGGCAGCGCCGGGGCCCTCAACACGTCACTCACACAGTCACCATGGGAACCAGAGAGCCCACCCCTAGGTGCACACCCAAGAGAAGTGAAAACCTGTGTTCCCACAACAACCTGCACGTGCATGTTCACAGCCGCACGACTCACAGCTGCCGAACGGCGGAAGCCGCCCAAGGCCCCGTCCACGGAGAAACGGACAGAACGTGGGCTCCATCCGCGCTCTGGAGTATTCCTCGGCCGCGAGAAGGGGGGAAGCACGGACACTCACGACAGTGTGGACTGGGTGGGCCTTGAACACAGGGTGCTCAGTGAGAGCAGACAGACACAAACGGCCACACAGCGTGTGGTCCCATCGATGTGAAATGCCCAGGACAGGCACAGCCACAGAAAATAGTTAAGGGCCGGGGCAGGGGATGGGGGGAACTCCTAAAGGGGATGGCAACTCCTTTTTGGGTGACGAAACGTCCAACAATTGATTGTGGGGATGGGTGCACAGCCCTGTGGATACACTAAAAACCAGTGAACCACACACGTTAAAAGGGTGAATTGTGTCCTATGCAACTTTTCTATCAATAAAGCTGCTCAAAAAGCCCAACGTGTATTTGAGTTCTTAAGACAAAGGATTCAAAGCCTTCAGCGGCTGAAGATGTGTGAGAGTTTGACGATTGAAAATCCCACAATGGCACTTTCTAAAGCCCGGGCATGGCAGTGTTGGGGACAGGAAGCCACCAGGATGTCACCAGATGCCACATCGATGCCAGGAGGCTGAGATCCTAATCACTGCCTGTTACACGCCCTCAGCCCGCCAGCAGCTCCGGTGCGCTTCGTCAGTCCGTGTGGGGGCGGCGGGGGGGCAAAACGGGAGGTTCCAGGTTTCCTAAGAAAGACTTCTGTGGTCACCAGCCACTGTTCCTGGCCCCTCCCCAGCCTGGCTGCCCCCAGTGAAATGTCACGGCTGTTGAGGGTTTTAGGGCAGAAGTCAGGCCCTGCCAAGATCAGGGAGGAAGAGGCAGAGATGATGCCAAGTGGCCGGCCGGCCGGCTGGCTGCCACGTGCCAGGAAGGGGGTGGGGCAGCGGCAGAGTCAACACGGCCCCCAACATCTGCCAAGCTGGCTGGGCCCCAGCCACTATTGACACTGGCTGCACAGGTGCTTGGCTAGCGGGCTGGACAGGCAGCCCCAGCAGCAGGACCGGCCGTAAAATGGGCAAAAATAAGCTCCCAGCACCACAGGGCAGACACTGGTGGCCCCAAACCTCCCTCAGCCCACCTCATCTCAGAAAACCAGTACAGGCCCAGCGCCTCCGGGACCCTGACCAGTGATGCTGGCCCTTCTGCACAAGCCCCGCGGGGCCCCACCGCAGGGCCTTTGCACGGCTGTTTCCAACGCGGGGCGCACCGCTCCTCCGAGCGTGGGCCTGGCTCCTTCTCCCACAAGGCTCAGCCCAAAGGTTACATCCTCACAGGCTCGCTGCTCCCTTTGTAAAAATGCCGGCCACATCCCGTGTTGTTACCCGTCTGCTTGTGTGCTGACCTTCTCCTCCCACAACAGAAAGAGACCACGAGAGTGACTCTGTGACACTGAAGCTCCCTGGCCGTCTGGCCTCAGCGGCTGTGACCTGACCCTGGGTATCCCCAGACGGCACCGTCCCGTCCCCGACAAGCGGGACAACGGCTCCGGAGGCTCTTTGTTCCTGACCTGCGAAAAGGTCTTTGGGGTCAGGGCTTCTGACCCCTGTCCCCACCCGGCCTGACACCAACACCCCCTGCGCCCCAGAGCTGAGGCCGGGGGAGAGGGGTTCAGTCAACCTCTGAGCCCCGAGGGCCGCACAGCCTCGTCCCTCCCACCTGCTGCGACGCTGAGAGGCAGCGGGGGTTCTGTCCAGCTGCAACTCCCAGCCTGAGGGCTGTGTTCAGCGCAGACAGCAAATATTTGGCGGATAAGTAAACAGGACTCGCCTACAACATGTCCGTCTGTGTCATGTGGAACCCAGAGGACGCCAGGGGCCCGGAGTCTGCAGAGCTCGCTTCCCACACCGTGTCTGTTTTCTCATCTACAAAATGGGGTGAGCGGCCGCCTAGCAGGAGTTTTCTTCCCAAAGGGAGGGAAACGGAGGCAGGGAGCAGGGTGGGGCCATCAGGCCTACATGCAGGTTCAGGCTGGTGTTCACACCCAGGGGCTGTATAACTCTCCCTCCCATCCCTGAAGCTGCCCTGGGCACCCCTGCAGTACCAACTCTCCGGCCTTCCCACCTCCTCCATCCCTGTCATTCCCAACACTGCCCTCGTGGGCCCCACTTCCAGGTCTTTCCTTCATCTGTGAGTTTCCCGACGGCCTGAACGCGAGTCCCAGCATCCTTTTCTCCAAGGGAAGCAGGGAGAGGAGCTACTGGCTCCGAGACCCGGAGACCAGCACAGGGTGTAGCCGGGCTTCCCCTCCCTCGGGGAGGGTCTCCCAGCCAATCCGGGAGCCGGCATCTGGAAGGGAGCTACCGGGAGGCCACTCTCGGGTGCCGTCGTGCTCACAGCCCTGTGGAGCCCCAACGAGGCTGGGCTCTGGGCCAGGGAGGCCAGGTCCCCTCCAGCCACTCCTGGAGGTCGGGGCAGGGCCCAGCTGGCTGAGGATGGAATGCAAGCCCCACTGGCCGCTGAGGCCGCCATCTGGTTTCCATCTGCCCAGCCCAGCTCGGCCCAACTTCAAAGGATGCCCCGCCCGGCCACTTCCTCTGCCCTGGCCGCCCTTGGGAAGGCACCAGAATGGCCTGCTTCCTCCCCGCCCCTCCAGAGCCCCAGGGCGCTTGGCCGTCCACACCAACCACACAACGTGGCCACCTCCTGCGCAGCCAACTGCCTGGGCCTCGATAGGCTGAACTCCACTCGAGAGGCCAGACCGACAAGGCCTCCAACCCCACTTCACCGGCCACACCCACAAACCGTGCCCAGCGAGGTCACTGCACAGTCTTTGCCTGGACCATCCCCTCCACACTGAACCCGTCTCCTCGCTCTGTTTCCCTGCTTGTTCTTCTGGAGCCGACATCAAAAGCCCCACGCTTCTCCCTCCTGGCTTGCGTCCCCCGTGTTAATGCATTTAACAGCCAGCCCACCCCTGGGACCCCTCGCATCCAGCGGGCACTTGAGGGCGGGAGGTAAAAGCCAGCCATCGGGCCAGCTGGAAGAACCCACGTAACAGCAGGGGGCCGCCTCCACTGTCCCCATCACGGCACCCGGCACAGGGCCTACCTGCTTGAACTGCTCCTCGTACGTCCAGTCCCCGTGGTCAGGAGGCTGCAGCTGGGGTACCACGTGGGCGGGCCCTCCGGGGTGGGCTGGCCCGGCCCCTGGGCGCTCCTGGCTGCCCATCACCGGGGGCCCGCCGTCGCCACCGCGGAAGGCCTGGGGCAGCTGGGTCTTGTGGGCAAACAGGGCTGTGGGGCCCATGCCAGCCGAGCCCGGGGGCCCGAGCCCCTCCTCATCCTCATAGTCTTCCTCCTCGTCCTCCTCGTCCTCATCCCCCAAGTCTTCCTCCAGCTCTTCCTCGTCTTCCTCCTCTTCCCATTTTTGCTTCCTGGGGCAGGCAGAGGGCAGAGGTCAGGGGAGAAGGCACCAGCTGGCCCCTGTCCCAGGGCAGAGCTGGCTCCTCATCCTAGACTGCAATTCCTCTCTCCACACGGGGAGGGTGGGCCTCACCGGCCCCATGGGCCAGACACCTCTTGGTCGCAGTTAGCCCGGACCAAACTGTAACTATTCCTGTGACATAGACCCCAGCCTCGCCTCCTCCTGCCGCACCAGCTGCCTTGCTGAGCCTTGAAAATGTTACACCGGCTCCTTCCTTAGGGCCTTTGCTCAGGTTGTGCCCTATGCGAGGCATGCTGTTCCAGGCTTCCTGGCCCTTCCTGGGGACTGGTACTGCTTTGCCCATCACTCAGGAGAGTTAATGCTGGCCCAGCACCCGCTCCCTACCACCTCTGCTTCATTTTTAAAAAATATATATTTTATTGATTTTTTTACAGAGAGGAAGGGAGAGAGATAGATAGAAACGTCGATGAGAGAGAAACATCGACCAGCTGCCTCCTGCACACCCCCTACTGGGGATGTGCCCGCAACCAATGTACATGCCCTAGACCGGAATCGAACCTGGGACCTTTCAGTCCGCAGACCGACGCTCAACCACTGAGCCAAACCAGTTTCGGCTGCTTCGTTTTCTTGACAGCCCCAATCACAACCTGCAATTGCCCCACTTCTTTGCTTTTTCAAGTCTTCCCGCCTAGCTGGTTTGGCTCAGTGGCTAGAGCATCAGACCCGGGTTCAATTCCAGTCAAGGGCACATACTTTGGTTGCAGGCCCCTCCCCGGGCCAGGCCCTGATCAGGGCTTGTGCAGGAGGCAACCAACCAACATCTCTCACATCAATGTCTCGGTCTTTCCCTCTCTCTCCCTCTCCCTAAGCATCAATGGGAAAATATCCTCAGGTGAGGATCAACCAAAAACTAAATGTTTTCCCAGTGCCCAGGCTGATGTGGCTCAGTTGATTCGAGCATCGTCCCAAACACCAAAAGGTGGTGGGTTTGATTCCCAGTCAGGGTACATAGCCAAGTTTTGGATTCAGTCCCCAGTTGGGGTGCATATAGGAGACAACCGATTGATCGATGTTACTCTCTCTCCGCCTTCCTCTTTCTCTTAAATCAATTTTTAAAAAAGTTAAGTCTTTCCAGAAAGATCCCACTGGGGTCCCCCCAGCACCCAGTTCAGGGTCCACACTGGACTCCTGTGAAACACAGACCCCAATGAGCCAACTAAAGCCCACCCTGTGCAGGTCCTACCCAGTCCACCCCTCTACCTGCCCCTGAAGCTGGATTTGCTGGAGCGGTGCTGGGTGATGGGCCCTGGGCGTGTGTGGCTGGTTCTGCTTAAATCAGAATGAAATAAAGCTACAAACACTAATCCTCAACCACATCTTTGACACTGGCCACATCCCACACTCAGTGCCACTTAGGACTAGACAGTGCACAGGGAGAACACGTCCACTGTCATCCAGAAAATTCCAAAGGGCGGCACTTCCTTAGGGAGTTTTGTCCTGCCCTTACCACTCTGCCACCGAGACCCAGACACCTCTCAGTGCCCCACGCCCTCCAACCCGCACTCACAGGTCATCGTCAGAGCCCATGTCCTCGAAGTGCCTGTCGCCTCCGGCATGGCCTGGCGCCTCCCTGCCTCGACCGGGGGAGCCGGGCGGCCCCTCCTGGGCGGCGTCCTCGTCCTCGGAGCTGGGGGGCCTGTCCTCGGAGCCACTGGGGCTCGGTGCGGGTCCGAGGCCGGCGGCAGCAGCCCGCATGGCGGCCAGGGCGGCCATCTGCGCCTGCTGCATCCGGGTGTTCTCGGGGTCTCTGTCCTCGTCCGAGGCAGCCTTGGAGAGGGCCGGGGGGCCGGCGGGGGGCTGCCGGGCCTCCAGCTCCTGGCGTGCCCGCTGCTGCCGCTGCAGGAGCGTCTCCATCACAGCCTGCAGCTTCATGGCCCTGCGGGCTGGGCCACCCCGGGCGCCAGGGGTGGGTGGCAGGGGCGGCCCCTTCGGGGACGGGGCCCGGCCGCACTGCAGTGTGGGGGCCGCGGGGGAGCCGGGGCAGTGCAGGGTGGCGGAGGGTGGGGGCCACTCGGCTCAGACTGAGGGCTGGTGGGGCATGCCAACAGGCAGCGCCTCCTTCTCACTCCGGGCACGAAGGAGCAGCGGCCGGCATCCAGTTCATTCACGTGTTTGCAGAAACCTGAGGGCAGCGAGAGAGAGACTGTCACACCACACCGGGCTCCTCAGCCTCATCCTCCCCACTGAGACTGGACTGCAAATGCCTCTGGGAAAATCCCTCCCATCCACTCCCATCAGGGAGCAAACCTGGAGGGCTCCTTGGAAGAGGAGAAGCACACCCCCATCTACCCTTCCTCTGTCCACCCCAGGAAGCACTGCTCCCCCGCACTGCACTCCTGAGGGTCTCAGCCCCACGGAGAAATATGCAGCCGCCAGCTGCACCTCCCAGGGACCGTGTGGATTATTGCTTCACAAACAGAGCGGAGGACACGGCATTCCTGGCCTCTGATTGGCTGCAGCTGCTGGGCACCAGGGTCCAAGTGAGTTCTGGGTTCTGATTCCAGGTTCTAGGTGCTGGTGCTGCCTGGCCCAGGGGACTCCAGGTACCTCCTCTCCCTCAGGCTAACGGACAATGGCTGGCCCAGGCTGAGTGCTTGCTGTTTATGGATCCTGAGCTAAACCTTCCCCAGGCATGCTCTCAGCCCTAAGCCTCAGTCTCCCTGGACCTCAGTTTCCCCATATGCAGAACGGTGTCCTCACTGCATCCACCTCACGGTGCTCAGGCAGAGATGCAGTGAGTTTATGATGGTGAATTTGGGTACAAAAGAGGCACCGCATCCTGTCAGTGTCAGGGAAGGAGGGGCTAGGTGGTCCCAGTTTTATGGGTGCGGGGAAACTGAGGCTCAGAGGTGCCCTGCTAACACGTGTCTGGGTGCCATGAGAGCCTCCCACACCACTCCCATGCCTCTCTGCAGGGGTCTTCCCCTGCACTTTGGGATGGGGGGGGGGGTCAACATCCCAGAATGCAATGTGCCGTCCCTGGCCTGGGGTCCTTTCAGATCACCACCAACCCTAACTGCCAGGGCCTGTGGCAGACTCTGGAGAGGAGGTTCCACCAGGACAGGAGGATGAGATCTCAGCCCAGCCCCCCACCCACTCAGGCTACACCCCCACCTACCCAAGGGGCCAATAAAACAAACGGACAGAACTCCTCAGGCCTGGTGGTCACACCCCAGATGCTACAGCACAGGGACAGTGCGGAGGGCAGGAGGGTCCAGGAGGCGGCCCCTAACCCAGCAAATGAACCTCCACTCAGGGGGCAGAGGGTCTCACACAGGGAGGCCAGTGGGCACAGGCAGAGACTCTGCTTCAGCTGATGCCCTGCTCCCACTGTGTGACCTGCTAACAGGAACCTGACACCACCTAGACCTGCAGTGTAGCCCCTTCCCAAAGTCTCCGGTCATGGAAGAGGCCCTGCAGAGCCACAGCCAGCCCAGTGCCCCTCCACCTCCTCCTACACCCGTGGTTGGCAAACTGTGGCTCGCGAGCCACATGCGGCTCTTTGGCCCCTTGAGTGTGGCTCTTGCACAAAATACCACGGCCTGGGCGAGTCTGTTTTGAAGTGGCGTTAAAAGAAGTTTAAGTTTAAAAAATGTGGCTCTCCAAAGAAATGTCAGGCGTTGTCCTGTAGATATTTGGCTCTGCTGACTAATGAGTTTGCCGACCACTGACCTAGACCAGCTAGCCACTCATTACTCAGACCCCCTGGGGCCTCCTGGGTAAAAGGGCAATGGGGGTGGGGGGGCAGGTGAATGGCCCCTGTAAAAGGGGAAGGTACACCTCGCCCCCCAAAAGGCCTCCGTACCCAGCAGGGGCAGGGGTCCTTGGGCACAAATACCCGCTCAGAGACCACAGTGCTGGCAAGGGGCCAGCACAGCAAAGCAGCACCCAGCAGCCCCCTCCCCCACTGGCAGCCATCCCCCACCACCAGCTCCCAAAGTGCTGAGGGGACATTTCTCACCCAGTGTCTAGGCCCCGCTGCCCCTCCCCCACTTTTGACAACTTCCAAGACAAGCCCCCACCCAAGGAAACGCTCCAGGCAGTGCCCCCCACCTCTGGGGGGGGGCCCTAAGGAAGAGGCCAGAGGAAGCCACTCCCCCCACGCTGCCCCCGCCTGGCCTGCTGGGTTTAATGACCCTTCCGGGTCACCCCCGGTGGGGGAGGGGAGCAGGGCAGGCCTCCACACCAGGGCTCGAGGGGGGCAGGTGGGAACCCCGGGAGCCCCTCTGGGCCAGGCCCGGGCCCTCTCAAGGCTGCCATTAACCCTAAGCTGGCAGCGCCCAGCCCCTGCAGCCCCCTCCCCCAGGAGCCCTTTGTCCTCCGCCCCTACCCCCACTTTATGACAGCCCCATGGGAAAGGCATTCCCCGGCGGGGACCCGGCAGGGATGGGGGGGGTGCGGAGTGGTCCCTAGGAACCGGCTGAGGGTGGGGGGCAAGGAGAAACCGGGCCACGCCCTCCCCCCCCCCCCATGCCTCTGGGAGAGAGAGGTCACCCGCTCCGGCCGGGGCTTGCAAAACACGGTTATTTAAAGAGTTGTGCAAGGCCGGGGCCCGCGGGTGGCGAAAGGGGCCCCTGCACTCCGCGGAGGGAGGCGGGGGAGGGGGCGGGGGCTGGGGAGGGGGCTGGCGGCGTGGGGAGGGGGCGGCCCGGAGGAAGTGGGGAAGGAAACACCGAAGAAGAAGAAATAAGACGACAAAAACCCCAGTCCGGTTTCAAACGCTTCTTGGAAAGCGGCGGATTTGCATGGGTCGGGGGAGGGGGGGCCTGGGCCCGGGCGAGTGAAAAACGGAAGATTATTGACAAACGCGCCGCCGCCGGGGTCGGGCGCGGAACGTTGGGATTGACAAACGCGCGCTGCTCGCGCTTCCTGCGCCCGCTTTGTGTCGGGGGGCGCCGGCCGGGGGAGGGGGCTTTCCCCGGGGATCCCCGCCGCGGAGCCCGGGAACCGGGGAGCCGGGGCCCGGGTCGCACCCGCCCCCGGCGCCGCCGGCACCGCGGAGTCCCCTCCGGGAGCCGCTTTCGGCCCGGAGACCGACACTTTATACATAAACCGTCCAGGCAGGGGAGGAGGGTCACCGGGGGCTGCCCTCCCAGCCGGCGCTCCCTCTGCTCTCGGGGCTCCCGGATAAAACCCCCGACCCCGGGGGAGAGAAATGAACCGAACCCGGAGCGCAGCCCCCCGCGCGCGCCCGGAGACCATTTCCTTCCGCTGAAGGGGGAGCGCCCTGGCGACCCCCGGTCCGCCCCGGGCGCCAGCACGCCCCTGTGCAACATGGTAGGGGATGAGGTCAACCAGAGGGAGCGGAGAAAACCACCCCAACTCCGGCCGCTAGGGTCGCCTTCCCGGCGCCGGACCCCCATCCACATCCCTGCCCACTTTGGGGAGCCCCCTCTCACCCCGGACCGGAACCCGCGGTTTAAAAGGCCATCACCCCGCGCCCCAGCCTCACCGCGCCAGGCCCGCTCCCGGGGCGCATGCCCCGCGCCTGGCGTCCGGCCCAGCCCGGCAGCGCCTGGCCTCCCGCCCGGGCCGCGAGCTGCGAGCTGCGCGCTGCTGGCTCTCGGCCGCCGCCGCCGGGTGGGTGCCGCGCGCGGACTCACCTAGCCGCGGGCCCGGTCCGCGTCTACACCCCCGTCCGACCGGATTGGTAAAAGTCACCCTGCGCGCGCCTCCCCGCCCCTCCCCTCCCCCCCGCCGGCGCGCTCACCGCCGGGAAGACAAATCACCGGGTGACAAATCGCTCTCAGATGCAAATACCTCGCGGGTGATTCAGCGCCGTGGCCTGGGGCGCGGGGAGGGGTCTCGCGAGGCCCCCTCCCCCTTCCCGGACCCCCACCCCCACCCCCCGCGCTGGGTGCGAACCCGCAAGACCAGCCCAGGGGTCTCGGGAGGGAAGGGAGGGCGGATGGAAATTTTCGAGGCGCGGGCCCTTTAAAAGAGAATACATAATAAAAGTGAGGGGAACACCGCCGCCGAGGCCCCGCCCCCCGCTAGGGACGGTGGGCAAAGTGTGCGCCTGGGCCCGGAGCGCACGGCGCGCTGGGGACGCGGGCGGGGCCGGGAGCGTCCGAGGGGGCGGCGGGAGGAGCAGGCGGGGGCGAGCCGGGCTGGGTCGGGGACCGGGGACCGCCTCCCCATCTTACCGAGCGCCTCGGAGGGACCTGCCGGGCTCCACGTTGCACCTCTGTCCCTTAGACCGGGGGACCAGGCGCGAGCGACCTGGCCGCCGGCCCCCGAGCCGCACCACGGTTTTCCCGTCTGTAAAATGGGGATTAGAGACCCGAAGAAGCCAGACGCCACAGGGACCAGAAATGAGAGCGGGGCGGGGCCGGGGGCGGGGCCGGGGCCCGGCCGGGGGACGCGGACGGCTCCCGCTCGCTCGGTGGGTCAAACGAGTGGGTGGGGCCGTGCGTCCTGGGGCCCGGGCGGCGTGTGGGAACTCCTCCCTGCCCCCGACGGCCACCGCCTCCGGAGGACCTGACAACTCACCTAGGAGGAAAACACAAGATCCCCGTTTTAGTAATAATTTCATCATCTCCATAGGCTGAAGTGCCTGGGTTCCTTGGCCGTTTGCCCAAGGCAAGGTTCAACCCTCACACCTCTAGGTAGTGGAGATTCTAAAGGACCCCATTTGGAAGAACCGGAAACTCAGGCACAGAGGAGGGTGGGGCAAGGTCCGGGAGGGGGCTAATCGCGGGGGCCCAGGTTTCAGCCCAGATAAGAGCCTGTGGGAGCATAGGGGCAGGCAGGGGCCACACAGAGGGCTCCATTTCTCGGGGGGTCCCCACTGAGTAGGACTGGGGTTCCTCATCTTGATTGTTAGGGTAGGATTTTGTGCAGCCCCTCCCCGCCTCCAGTCAAGTACAAAGCTTTGCCATCTTCTCCTGGGTCCAGTCCCATATTGCCCGCTCCCCCACCCAAAAAAAAAAAAAATTGTAGTCCCGTTGTTGGGGGAGTCCCTCCCAAGCCCAGGAGACAGATCTAGGGCCCAAGTCCTGCCCACCCCTGACAGATCCCCAGCCTCTAGCCCCAGGGCTGCCTGCAGTCTAGGCCGCAGGTGGCAGGGAAGCCTCCACCTTTAGGCTATTACACACCCAGCCCCAGCTGTTCCCCGCTCACACACACACACACACACACACACACACACACACACACACCTGAGGCCTGCCTGGGGAGGGAGAGTTTAGAGACCCATTTTAACTGAGGAAGCCATCCTTAAAGGGCCAGGACCCAGCTCTGTCTCAAAAGTGCAGGCAAGCCCTTTTCATACCCAGAAAGAGCCAAACCGATCAGAATGCACCCCTGCCTCACCCCTCCTGTGCCTTCGTTCCCTCCATCTGTACAATGGGTCAATATTAACTCATTCCTTGCACAGCAGGATCCCCTGAGAGGAGGAGGGGTGCTACCCTCTCCCCATTTTCCAGGGGAAAGCTGCAGTCCACACCAAGCTAGATGCCGCTTCCCAGAGGTGCCCTGCCCGGCTCCCGCGGCCTCCCCATGACGGGTCCATTTTCAGCCCAGGGAGGGCGCTGGAAAGGGACACACACTTGCTGGCTCTGCTATTGGTGGGCAGCAGCCCGGGGTCCAGCGGGGTCCTGGCTGTGTGACTTTAAGTGAATTCAGACCCCCCTCTGGTCTCTGTTTTTCAACCAGGAAATGAGGTACAGAAACTCCCGTCTCATCATAAGGTTTCTTGGCCAGACCATCTTGCGGGGCCCCTGTGTGTTTTGGACAGTCCCTGAAAACAAACGAACAGCCTGGTCCTTGCCCAGCCCTCAGCCCATCACTCAGCCTGCTCTCCACCCTGAGGGGGGCATTGGCTTAAAAAAAACCACCTAGATCGCAAACTGCCTCCCTTCCCACATGATTCCTGCTCCAATAGGTTCCCACATCCGAGCCATGCCCCCCACCTGAAGTGCCCTTCCCACATCGCCTGACCTTGCCTTTTCCGGCCTCAGCTGGAACTTCAGCTCCTCGGAGGGTTCTTCCCTGACCCACCAGCGTCAGGTGCGCCCCATTACCCCATCGTCACATCATTCTGTTTATCTTCATCCAGGCACTATTTCAAGACAGCTGTATTTTTTTAAATAAATATTTTATTGATTTTTACAGAGAGGAAGAGAGAGGGATAGAGAGTTAGAAACATCGATGAGAGAGAATCATCGACCAGCTGCCTCTTACACCCCTCCCCCCCCACTGGGGATGTGCCCACAACCAAGGTACATGCCCTTGACCGGAATCGAACCTGGGACCTTTCGGTCCGCAGGCCGATGTTCTATCCACTGAGCCAAACCGTTTTCGGCAGCTGTATTTTTTTTTTTTTTAATTGATGAGAGAGAGAGAGAGGGAGAGAGAGAGAGAGACATATCAGTTGGTTGCCTCCTGTACACCCCCTCCTGGGGATTGAGACCAGAAACCCGGGCATGTGGCCTGACCAGAATGGAACCAGCAAATCTCTGTGCAAGGGACGAGGCTTAACCAACTGAGCCACACCAGCCAGATCAGGACAGTGGTATTTATTGAACCTATTCAGCCTCGTCTACAACTGTGTGTCCACCCCTGAAGCTGAGTCTGGCACATAGTAGGTACTCAATAAATGTTGGTTTTCTAAATGAATTCATGTTCCCTTTCTTCCTCTCACATCATACACCATTTTTGGTGGAAGGCAAATTGAACTATTCACCATATAATCTCAATTTTTTTAAAAAAGCCTGGAGTGCCAGAACCGGTTTGGCTCAGTGTTAGAGCGTCAGTCTGCGGAATGAGGGGTCCCAGGTTCGATTCCGGTCAAGGGCATGTACATTGGTTGCGGGCACATCCCGGTAGGGGGTGTGCAAGAGGCAACTGGTCGATGTTTCTCTCTCATCGACGTTTCTATCTCTCTATCTCTCTCCCTTCCTCTCTGTAAAAAAATCAATAAAATATATATTTTTTTAAAAGCCTGGAGTGGGGGTGTGGGGCACAGCTAGAAACATCCACCCCTGACCTGCTATCATTCACACCTCGTCCTTGTGAGCCAATGCCCATGAACATGAACATGTAACCTTTTTAAAATAAGAAGGAAAACTACCCTCGTCAGTTTGCTCAGTGGGTGGATCGTTGGCCAGTGGACTGGAGGGTCGCCGGTTTGATTCCAGTCAAGGGAATGTAACTTGTATCTCGGTTGCAGGGTTTGACCCCCAGCACAGTTGGGATGTATGCGAGAAGCAACCAATCAATGTGTCTCTCTCACATTGATGTTTCTCTGTCTCTACCCCCTCCCTCCCTTCCACTCTTTCTGAAAGCAACGGAAAAAAATATCATCAGGTCAGGATTAACAAACAACAACAATAACAAGGAACCTGAATAACAGATCAGAATGCACTCCTGCCCCACCCCAGGCAGGTGCATGAGCCTCCCTGTGCCTCCATTTCCTCCTCGGTAGCAATCGGGAGCACATAATGAATTTCGCCTAAATTATATTTGCTTTCATAAGAACCCAGTTGTAAAATGTAATTTTTAAGATACAGTATTTTTTCATGGAAGGGGCCCAGGAGGCAGAGGTTCCCAAGACCCTGGAAATGAATTGTGTGGCTCTGCTTGACCCATTTTGCAGCGGGAAAACTTTCAGCAAAGGTCCAGTTTGGGATATGTATGAGCTTTGTATAGTCCACCCAGAGAAGCTAGGAACTTCCGTGGGGTGCGCGCGCCACCTGCCGGGAACCTGCGGAGCTGCAGTCTCGAGGCAGGACTAGCGCCGTCACGCCAAGGCTCCCGTCTGGGGCCGCTAGATGGCGCCACATCGTCTGAAAACCAGTTTGCTGAGTCTGATGGGGAAACAGGCCCGCTGAGTTTTTTTCTCCTACTCTGTTTCTCCGAAAATAAGACAATCTCTTATATTAATTTTTTCTCCCAAAGTTGCGCTAGGTCTTATTTTCGGAGGATGTCTTATTTTCAGGTATGTAGCACCTTCTGAATGCTCGCTCCATGGTGGTGTTGCTCGATAAAATGCAGTACTGGGCCTAACCTATTTGGCTCAGTGGCTAGAGTGTCAGCCTGTGGACTGAAGGGTCCTGGGCTCGATCCCCATCGAGGGCACACGCTGGGGTTGCAGGCTTGATACCCAGTAGGAGGATGTGCAGGAGGCAGCTGATCAATGATTCTCTTTCACTGATATTTCTTCCCCCCTCCCTTACTCTCTGAGATCAATAAAATATATTTTGCAATAAAATACAGCACTGGTTTTAAATTTGAATATCATATAAAAGACGAATAATTTTAGGTATATCCCAAATATTGCACGGGATATATTTATGCTAAATTTTTTTTTTCATAGTTTATCTGAACTTGAAATTAACCCCTCTTCCTACCCACCCAGACCCTTGGGGCTACCTTGGCCCTGGGCTCATCGTCCCCCTCCCAGACCGTCTGTACTGTCACATGACTGGTTCTGACAGCCCAAAAGATAAGAAGAATAGCCACAATAATTAAATGATACATTGAAAGCCATCACCACTTTCCTTGGATCATATCCCCTCCCTGCTGAGAAGCTTCCCATAATTCCCATAAACCTGGGGAACAACCCAACTCACCCCTGCTGTTTGTAAGGCTCCCCCCGCCTCTCCCCTCCTCTATCGCCCTTTCTCAGGGCCTGAGGTCTCTGGTCTTGAATGTGACAATGTTGGGTCTTATGCAGCCCCTCTCCTAAAGCACATGGCATTGCCATCTTCTCGGGGGCATTGCCCCAGCTTGCCCCCCATTTTTCAGGCCCAACTGTCCATGAGAGTCCAAAGCCCAGGAGACAGGTCCAGGGGAGCTGCCCCCTCTCCTGGAGCCAAGTCCTGCTCAGCCCTCGCAGGATCTAGCCTCTAGCCCAGGGCTGCCTGCAGTCTAACGGCAGCAGGTGGCAGGGAGGCTCCACCTTTGGGCTATTACACACCCAGCAGCTGTTACCCCCCCCCCCCCCCACACACACACCTGAGGGAGGGCCCAGAAGTCTGCCTGGGGCGGGGGAGGCTAAAGACCCAGCCTAGCTGGGGAGAAAGCCATCTATAAGGGGCCAGGCCGCAGCTCAGTCTCCAAAACACAGGGACCCCCCTCCACACCCAGAAAGAGCCCAGCAGATCAGAATGCACTTCTGTCCCAGGCAGGTGCCTGAGCCTCCCTGTGCTCCATTTCCCGGCTCTGTGCAATGGGTCAATGTCAATTCATTCCTTGCACAGTACTTGCGAGGCCTATATTTCCCTCTGTTATAAGGTCCCCTCCAGCCCCACCCCCCTCTAGGGATTTCTCCGGTCCACCACACAGATCCTGCGT